GCTTATCCCGATGACACTTGAGCAGAAACCATTCTCTGAAAACCTTTCCTCCTCATGCCAGCAAGAAGAATGGAAGCCTTACCTGTCCTTCATTTGGTGCAAAATTTAGGGACAAGGAGGATGACCGTGTGTGTTTTCTTAAAATCAATGGCCAGCACATTACTGTAAAACCTATTGATTAAAAACACGAAGTATAATGTTAGTCATTTAGTCTGTGAAGTGATGCAATAAGGGAAGAAATTTATCCTTTGACTTTTGCATTAACCTTTTATTGACTGCGTGCATACCCATAATTAACACACACTTTAGCTAAAGTGGTTAATTTCAGCATGGCGACCGGTGTTCACTAATGTGGCTGCAGCCCTGGCCATCAGATGTCAGGATGGCCCTGAGGGAGCACCCCACGTGTGTTACACCTGTGGGGGGGCCCAGGGTGTCTGGACGACCTGCTAACAGGCCGGCCAGTGGGACACCTTCCATTTGCTTTCTACTGTGTCATTAGTCACTCTGGGAGAACCATTCTTAAATAGCAAGTGTTTCGCGAGTAACTCCTGGAATCTTTTGGATCGAGTGTGGTGAATTTGGGAGGGAGGAAGGTGCCGTATCTGTCATTTCCCTTTGTTCTCTGTTCAATGCTTCATGAGCTGGCAGGCTTTTCTGAGTAGAATCAAATGCCTTTGCTAACCCAGGCAGCCCAGCCCTGGGACAGGACCCGAGGACGCAGGACGGGAGGACGCAGGACGGGAGGATGGAGTTCCCAGCTGAGGGGAAATGGCTCTGGCTGGAGGACTGAGATGACTTGCTCTTCTCGAGAGCTCCGAGTTCGGGGAACTTCTGCAAAACTTCCCTTAGACAGATCGTAAAGCTAACTTATTGTCCCGTTATTTAATATCAATGACATTACCACATCCTCGTTTTCTGGATAGAAGCTTGCCCCAAACAGAATTATTTGAACCGAGACCAAGAAACCCGGTGTTTTCCTGCTTTCCTGTGCCCTGGCCTCTGCACACACTGTGGGCAGCAGCATCAGCGTCCACTCGGCCAGCAGGGTCACGGCCATAGATGTCGTCAGGCAGGAAGGGAAGAAAGGTGGAGGGCTCAGCCGGCCTGCCCAGCTGGGCCTCTGGGTTACTAGTGACAACAGGTGACAGGCTCAAATCCCAAAAATGATGGCTCCTGAGGCTGAAAAGATCTTGGGGAGGCTTTGGCCCGTGCCTCGGACATGACCGCCCAGCACCAGCAGGTGCTATGTGGCTGCAGAATGACCGGCAGCTCCAGGAGATGCAACCCCGTGGCTCACAGGCCAGGAGGAAGGAAGGCCTGGCCTTCTGCCCCCAACCAGTGCCAGTGACTCTGCACACTCGCGCCCGCCCCCCCAGGCCTGTGTCTCCCTGTGCCTGAACCTGTGGGAGGCATCTGGGAACCAGATGCGCTGACTGGGCTCAACCAGTGGCAGCCCTGCCTGCTGGCCGGAGGTGGGGTGGGGGTGTTGAGTCCAGGGCCAAAGAAGGACTCCCCCCCGGGAAAAAAGCAGAGACCTCTTGGTGGGAGGGGTGTAGACAGGCAACCAGTACCCACTGCGATCCCTACCAGTACCCACTGCGATCCCTATTCCCAAAACACGCATGCCACCTCGGCCCGCCTTATTATGCGAGAGCGTCTCCACGGGCCAAGAGACATTCAGCTCCACTTCCCACAAACGACAAATCTCACGACACAATCGTGACTTAGAAAGTCCAGCAGCCCGTTCACTAATCCTAGGTCTTCAGGAACCACTGCTGGGTCTTTCTGAAGCTAGACATCTTCTCCGGTCACTGCTCTCCTTTCTAGCGAAAGGCCTGAGCCTGGAATGTACCTGCGGGTGGGATGCGGCCACGGCCACGCTAGAGTCAAGCCGGAAAGGGCGCCTGTGGGTGTCAGCAGAGCTTCCCCAGAGGAGCTGGTGACAGCCACCCACTCAGTCAGGGTGAGGGGCGCTCACGGGGGCCCGAGCGCCTTGGCAGGGTATCACCCATACACACGCAAAAGCAGGGCTGAGGCTGCTGTGAGGAAGCCAGGGTGCGCTCTCACTGTGTGCCCCGTGGGGCTCTCGGCAGCCGCACTCCTGTCCTGAGCACACGCGGGCCCAACCCCAGCTCCAGCATCTCGCCCGCTTGACAGGCGAAGTTCAGCAGCCGGCCTGAGGCACCAAGTGCCATCAACATAGCAGAGACACACCCGGAACTCGCTGCTTCAAGCTTCCGACCTCCCCATCTAGGAAATCGAGACCAGAGAGGGCAGAAAGGGTGATCGGAGCAAGAGACACCCAAACCCAAAGCCAGCTAGGCCTCCAAGGGGCATGTCATCCTTCCTCTTTCCTCTCCACAGTCTGGCAAGATGCTGAAGCAAACAGTGTAATTGGAACTGGGGGTGACTGTCCTGTTCAAAGGTAAACACACCTCCTCCAGTAGTGAGCTCTCTACAGGGCCCAGCGGCGGCCATTTGGAAACTGGCCAGGAGCCCGGGGCATTAATGGAAGACTGTGAAAGCCCCTGAAGCGTCTGAGTTGACTTCCCTGAAGAAGCCCAGTGGAGGGTCCTGGCCCAGCCCCGAGAGAGGAACTGGATAGACGCAGGTCTAAGATGGGTGTTGGGGGGAGCCTCCTGGGAGCAGGCTGCCCCCAGCCAGCCGTCCTTTGCCCAGAAATGCAACATCATAGAATAACTCTACCCGACAGAGAGCCAGTGGGCTCGGGCAGCTGGTGCGAAATAGCGAAGCAAACCTCACAGCAGGTTTTCATATTTTTAATACTTTCCCAAAATGAGAGGGCAAAGCCCACTTGACAAGTGAAAAAGCATCTCTATTGACTTTTTACGAACCTCATGATATTCGAGGTGGATCCACACTTATCACAGCTCTTTAATCTGCCAGCCAGAGTAATATGTGCATAGATAATTTATCCGCAGTGGGACCGAAATGCTCAATTTGTAATAAGTTTGCCTACCTAGCGAATTGAGCTTGCTCTCTGGTTCCGAGAGCAAGAGAAAGCACAGTTTTAAAAATCTGTGCAGCATTCCTCTGTAATTAGGCGCGGCTCCCCCTGAATATTAATTCCCCCATCCCTTTCATGTGATTTAGAGACTGTCCCCGGACTGGAGATCCACCCTCAGAAGCACAGTGCCAAGCAGCCATGTCGCAAACACCTATTATTAAGTAGTCTGCAGAACACACCCTCTGTTCTTAGTGCTGCGTGGGGCTTATCAGTGCAAACAGTTTAATATTTATGCTAAGAGGATTGTCACAAGCAGCTTCTGTTGCTTTAATTCTTGTTTTAAATAAATAATGAGAACATTTAAACACATTCCTCTTCTTGGGGCCCTGAGGTCAGCTAATCTTATTATTTATGAAGTGATGTGCTACATAACAGTACTTAGTGCATGTTAACAGACGCTATTATCAGGGCCTGATGCGGAGAGCTGAAGATATATTGGGATGTTATGTGTAATGTACGGTGGATTGAACGCCTAGCACGCCGGTCTGGCAATTAACCGCACGAGGAAGTAGGTGTAAAGTTGAAGGATGTTTTCCCGTGGGGATCCCCTCACCATTAATAATTCCCCAGAGAAGAAGATGTCTTTTAGTGAGGAAACTTCTGCGCCACCAGGCTTAGACACGGAGATGCGAGCTTCCAGTTTTTCAGGCTCTTTGCCGTGAGCCCCATGTGGTTCACAGCACACAAATAGTGGGGGTGACCACTTTTTTTTTTTTAAAGATTAATTGATTAATGCGTGCAAGAACTGGGGTGTAGGCCAGAGGTGCAGGGTCTGTGAGAGAACTCACCAGAGACAGAGTAGGGATCTACTGAGATCCACTGCTGAGGGAAGCAGCGGGGAGACAGGAGAAGTCTGCTGCGCCCTGTGGGTCACTCCCTGGCCGGGGATCGAACTCAGGCCACAGTGGCTGGGGACAGCTTCCTAGTGTGCCAGGCACTATGTGGTTCGCTTTAACCCATGGCGCCACCAGGAAGGTGATGACTGATTTAGAGAGTAATGCAGGAAAGTGGGGGCAGGGAAGGATTTACGTCCCTCTGAAGTAATTTGGGGGGGTGCACAGGTTTTTCACTGTCCTGTGCTCCCAGGAGAGCAGAGAAATAATTCGTTCCTTATTGCCATCATGTTTCCACTCTCTGGTCCTCTTTTTTCTTTTTCAGACAAGTAAGGCTAAAGCCACTGAGCTCTCTCAGGCCAATTTTAAAGGTGGGATGAGGGTGCCCCAACTTCTTCCTACCAGGCAATCTCTAGCTGCCTATTATAATTAATTTTCCTACTATCGATGAATAATCCATTTAATAAAAACCGTGATTTAAGTGTTTTCCTTAGGGAGTAACTCTTGCTAGCCTCTTAATTTAATTTTGTGGAAGTTTTCCCCACCTCTTCATCAGTGGAAATGATTATTAACCTCTATTTGCATATATCCTTATCGACTGGGCCCTCCTTGGAGAGCCTTTTCCAAAGCACAGCAAGCTGCGACCCTTGCAAATCTCCAGGACCTCCAAAGCCCATCCTGGTTTGTAATATGGTTCAATCTATTCTCAGATGTTTTAAGGCAGCCAATTCAATTTAATCTCTCCCAGTAATCTAGTTATACATTGCAGTCCCTCAAACATTTAAATCTGATAATGGCTTAATCACACACTTTAAATAACAGTTGAGACCGTGAAAAAAAAAGTAGCTCGTCGTTTGAGAGACACCGAATCTCCCTGCGATTGACTTCCATGAAGCCACCGGAGATAAGACAGAGCTGGGAACTGAAAAAGCAAAGAGCAAAAAGCTCCAGTCCATAAAGAAAGTTCTTCCTTTCTACCGACTCTGCTTTCTGCCTCCCGGCCTCTTCCCTGCGGGCCACCCCACCACCAGAGAGGACTGTCTGGGGAGCACTTGCTGTCGCTCCAAGCTGCCGGTAGACTGGGGTCATCCAGGAAGCCCCGCCTGTGAATTGATTGCCTCTTCTTCCTCTTCCAGGTGCCAGTCCAGAATTGCCCGAACTTTACCCCTGGACCAGAAGCCAGAATGTCGGCCATACTGGGAGAAGGAAGATCCTTCGATGCCTTTGCCATTTGACCTCACAGATATCATTTCTGAGCTCAAAGTTCTGCTTCTGGAGGCCAAACCCCAGGAAGAAAGCACATTTTAGATGCAGAGAGAAACATGTTTGGGGCTTCTCACCCCCTTTCTCATGGGCAAGGACAATGGGTAGACGTAGCTTTGAGATAGTAGAACCCCGGTCCCCATCAAGAGCAACTAGGGAGCAAGCCCATGAAAGTTAACATGCTTTGAAATGATGCAGCGTCATCCGTGGACTGGCATGAAACAAGACCCTGCCCCCCAAGCTATTCCTCTCTCGGAGTTTCGGGGGGAGCCCATCGGCCCCGAGACACAGGGGGGAGGTGCTGAACTTGGCCCGTGCCCCCGCCTCCCCTGGCTTCCTCCTTCCCAAGCCTCCCGAGACTCTGAGTCTTGGCGGGCAACAGAACTTAGACATGCTCACCCCAATTTCCCCTCCCTCGCCACACTCCTCAGAGGCTGTGCTGTCCGGCACGGCGGCTGCCAGCCAAATGCAGCTTCTTCGATGTCAGTGCAGTTTTCGTCGTGATTCAGTCAGGCTAAGCTTGCGCCCTCCGCCTTCCCCAGCTGCGTGGGCGGCGCAGGTATGCATGTCGTCCTCCCTGCAGGAAGCCAGTGGGTGGTATCCAGAAACCCTTTAAGAGCAGGAGAGGCCTTTGCGGCCGCCATGCCCAGGGGACAAAGAAATGGCTTTTCACAGAGAAGCCTGGCTTGGCGCCTCAGCTCCGCCAGGGCCCGCGTCATGGCAGATGGAACTGAGGCCGGGTTGCCACCCCGAGGGCACTGGAATGTCGGAGACCAGCGAGAGGGAAGTGTGTGTGGCTAAGGGATGCCTGCACCCAGCTCCCACTAGTGTTGTGGCCTTTGGCCCGTCACTGTGCCTCAGTTTCCCCACTTGTGTCACCGGCCTCTCACAGCACCAGCGCAGCAGCATAGGGTGAAGCTGAAATGGAGTCCCCAAGCCCCAGGCCTAGCCATGGTGACACGGACCGACTGGTCATCTCTCTGGGTGGGCTCACCCTGGGGGCACCCCCTTCTCTAGTCTCATGCCCGGTCTGTCTGTTCATGCCGTGTTCCTGAGCCTCGGTTTCCTCAGGAAGTGCGATCTCGCGGGGAGCCCAGCGTGGACCAGGCCGGGTCAGCCACGAGGTGTGGCCCGAGCGGCCCCAGGAGGGCGGGTCCGGGCTGGCGTAACTGGGTTTATCCTGCCCCCGATTTCTGTTTTGTTACATATCATTAGGTGCCAAATTTTAAAAACGGGGAGATTTCCTGTGTTCTCGTGTGTGTTCTTTGGAAGTCAGAGCCTGCGGCAGCCCCGGCTCGCGCCAGCGGGGCCGTGAGATGAGTCGCGTCTCCTCATAGGGCATGAACACGTGACCCCCCACACCCCCGCCGCTGCTCCCTGCTCCCACGTGCTGTGACCCTGACCTCCCCCCTTCTGTCAGCGCGCTGCAGACTGCCTACCTGTACCCCGTCGTAGAAATAAAATCTTTCGTCTTGACCCCAGTTGGGGTGTCGCTGTTGGGTCATATTCATGGACCGCTTGTGAATGCGTCACGTGCAACATAAAACATTCCTAATTAATAAAAATATTAAAAGGATGGAATGGGAAGCCAACTGAGGTTCTGCTGTGTTCTCCTTTCCCGCGGTGGGTGGACCTGCTTCCGTGGCCCGGGGTCCCGCCATAGGAGACTCTCCAAGTCCTCCAGGTGGGCAGGACCAGCTCTGAGAAGCTGCTCTCTGGAGCAGATGAGCAGATGCGGCGGCGGAGCTTCCAGCGAGCTGGAGCTGGGCGCGGCTGAGGCCTGTGCTTGCTCTCCAAGGTGGGAAGAGAGGGGGCGCGAGACAGCTAGCAGGGGCTGCTGTCTGACAATCAGCTCAGGCCCTGCCAGCCAAGGGATAGTGCTTCTCCGGGGAGTTTCGGGCCCAGCACCAGCCTCCCCCCTGAGTGTGGGGTCCATGCCCCAGGGGCCACGTAGGCCCGTGGCTTTGCACTGAGATGCCACGTGACCTTTCTGCCCACACACCTGTGACCCACCCCAGCGACGTGGAGAGCATTGGGCATCCATGCACCGGTCCCTGCTTCTGTGCTGGCCCCACTGCCACCGGTGGGCGTAGTGACCAGAGCAAGAGAGCTCACCCTGTTGCAGGGAGACAGACCACACACCAGCGTGTGACTAGCAGGAATGCCAGGAAGGAGCGCTAAGGAGTGAGGGGAAGAGAGCGGGGATGGGGACCGATGGGGCGTGGCTTAGCAGAGGGGCGTGGTTTGGTGGGTGGGCGTGGTTTGGCGGAGGGTGTGGCTTGGTGGAAGGCGTGTCTTAGAGGAGGAGAGGAAAGAGCTGGTCGGAAGGGTCGGACTTGGGAAAGTGCTGGTCAGGGGCCTGTGGAGGAAGAAGGGTCAGTGACTGTGGCAACTGAAGAAATAAGAGGAAAATAGGGTCAGGGGTGCGGCTTCAGAGGAACCTGCGTTGGGCTTTATTTCAAGTTCCTGAGGAATGCTGAGGGTGGGTAGCTTGATAGGATGACATCCTTGCAATTCTAGGTGATCGCCCTGCTTGGCCCAGAGGGTCTCAGAGAGCAGGTGACACCATCCAAAAACATATCCCAGGAGATCACAAGAGGGGAGGTGGCCTTGCCAGCACCGGGGCCCCCCGGTAAGTAGAACCCAGCAAGCTGCAGTGACCCAGTCCCCCACGGCCTCCAGCCCAGAGGTAGGCAGGAAAAGTCAGGGTCGTGGCATTGCCTGTGATACAAGTTTAGTAATAAGCTGCTAAATCCGTCAGTAGCTGAGGGGTGGGAGGCCAGAGTGAGGTTGCACAGGTTCTCCTGAATGCAAACCCCACGTTCGGGGGGTTGTTGTGTTTCGAGGGAAGGATTTTCGAATGCAACATTTTTCCCTGTTCTAGTTAAGGCTGATTTTACCACTGGGCAAACTGCATACATTTGGACTCATGCCACGCTAAATACTGTTTATTTTGGAGATCTGTCAGAGGCAAGCGCGTGGAAGACGGGGGGATTCTTATTTGAAAAGGCAATTTTCATCCAAACAGATCGAGAGGGAACAGAGCAGCGCGGATTAAAACGCGCTGAAGTGCTCATGCCGCTTATCCAGTTTGCCTTTGTTACTTTGTGATTAAATGGTATTTTTAATTAAGTTTCATTGGGAACCATAGGTATCGCGGTGGTGAAATCAATTTGACAACCATAAACGGGAGCGGGAAGCCCACGAGGGCTGTGATGATTGCGGCGACAGGGAGAGCTGGGCAGCTTTCAGAGGCGGGGCGGGAAGGGGAGAGGCAGGGAGCGCCCACGAGGCCTCTTTGGGGGACCCCAGAGCCCGGGGCAGGCTTCAGAGCTGTCAGGAAAAGGGACACACACCTGGCTTTTGCGCCCACCCCAGCCGTCTTGAGCCATGCCCAAGCCAGAGGCAACCCCAGGAAAGTCTGTTTTTCATTTCTCTTATGAACAAGGAGAAGCTGCGAGCACCCCATCCCCACGGCTGCCCTGGTTCCCAAGCCACACCCCCGACGCTCAGGGGACCTTTCCAATTCCTGCTCCCCCACTATCCAAGGGAGTCAAGCCATTGTCCTTCTCCATGGAAACCTGGCCCCTCTTCCTCCTATGCAGACGTCTGCCCCATCCTCCTTGGTGGTGTGTTGAGAATCGCCCGCTGCTCCTGCTGGCGCAGAGGCTTCTGGCTACAGACTTGTGAGTTAGCATCCTAGTCCTGTGTGGCCCGAACGCTCCCATCCTTCCAAGCCTTTGTTTTCTTGCCTGCAGAACAAGAGTGTTAGCCATGTGTCAATTCCCTACATCGGTAGGATGATTAAATAAGCCAGTGTGCATATAAAATGTCCCCAGCCGTACCTGGCACAGGTGTGCCGCGAGGTAGCTAGCGACTCTGGGGGCCACTATCCAGGTTTCCGGAGGTGACCACGGTGACCTCTCTGCCTCGTCCCGGGACGGTCCCATCACGGCCCCGGAATGAGATGTTAGCAGCCTGCACAATCCCATCTGCTCCACCCAGCTTCCATTTTGTCCCCGGGCAGATGGCGCGGAACTTTTTCTAAATGAGATACTATGAAAAATGATGCTTCGGTTCTCCCATTACGGCTGTGGGATTAGGTCACCCATCGCCATTTTAGATTTGCTTAAAAAAATTCTTGCCATCACCCTCTAATGGATGATCTGTGTACAACAATTGTTTATTGACTGAATGTCTAAGCAGCCGGGTCAGTCTATTTCAAGAGGCGGGAAGCATTAATTAACTTGCAGCATTAGATTCCGTGATTCTTTCCCGATGATGCAGTTCATGACTTTGCCTGCATCTACTTTTCATCAGTCCTGAAAGAATCGAGGGGAAATAGTTCCTGTGCACATGTGTGTCAAGCTAAATGGATCACAGCAGATACAGATCTGTTTGCCTGTCTGCACTTGCCTTTAGACAAGATTCATCAATTTTACAAAAGCCACTGCCTAAACATGGCACCAATACAAATGAAGGGCTTTGAGCGGGGAGTTTCTCCCTGCTTCTAATCTGGTAAGTGCTGTGACTTCCTACTGGGAGGTGGGGGTGCTCGCAGGCTGCCCTCTGCCCCAGCAATGGGGACGAAAGGGTCAGAGCGCTCTAGGGGGCTGAGACAGCAGAGCGGCTGTGGGTCCTTGTGCCGCTGGCTAGTGGCGGCCCGGGGAGTCTGCTGGGTGTCAGATGTGACAACCGGACCACAGATGAGCCGGCCCGTGGGGGTCCCAGCTTCCACGGGAAGCTGCTGCTTGTGCCAGCTCCCGGAACCAGGACACCAGATCAAGCCGCACGTGGAAGTTCTCCCTGGGCTGTGGGCGCGGACCCCTGATGGGAAAGGACCCTAGAGGCTCAGCTAGCTGGGGGCAGACTCAAGGAAGGAGGGGCGGGTTTGATCCGCGCGTAGCACAAGAGTTTGCATCCTGATTATCACAGATCAGGCGGGACCTGTTCGCCCCCACAGCCACGTGGCTGCCTTTCCCCCAGCCGGGCCAAGGTCGCACTCACCCCAGAGGACACGAAGAAAGGGCTGCAGGCCCTTCAGACCCAGTGCCCGGCCCATAATACCGGCCCTGGGGGTGCTCAGATTGCACTAGGGTGATCCTGGGACGAGGCCCACGCGGGCGGAGAGAGCTCTCCATGCTTTACGGAACTGCCGCCCCAACTGAAAATCCTGCTTTGCCATGGGGAGTCCGTTTTGCACTTTGGAGCAAGCCAGGTTAAACCCACCCGCCCTGGGCTCCTGCAAGGACGACCTGGGTTCTTGGAGCAGCTCAAGCGACCGCTCCTGATATCACACAGACAACCGGACTCCTGTGCGCCCCCCTGTCCACCCCCCAAACTCTGCAGACAGAGCTTTCCAGTTGATTACGCCTTGATTAGAGCCGGGAGAGAAGCGAGCCAGGTATATAGGATTCCCATTGTCCTCCCTCCCGCCCCCCCAGGGTCAGGCTGGGGCCCTCTCGGCAAGCATGCGACAATCAGGCCCTGTTTACCACGGACGTTTAGTTTTCTTTTCTCAAAATCAAAACAGAGTTTAGTAGGCCGCGTATTTTATACATGCCCCTTGATCAATGGGATGATCTGTCAGAAGCCATTAAGGCCCCCATTAGCTTGAATGCGTTCAAAGCTAAACTATTGGATCATTTAAGGGCTGCAGTGATTGTTTTTAATATACTGTACATTGATTTCTCCCCGTGAGCAGCAACATAAGTTTGAAACTAACTGTGTATGACTCGGCCTTTATTTGCTGTCTCCAGGACTCTGCCCAAAGCATGGTTTCACTTGGGCCAGGAACGTCTGTGCAGAGTTTTTAAAGAGACGCAGACCCTGCTGAATTTCCCAAGGTTTAGGCTGGGCCGGGCCGTTGGGTTTTGGCCCCCACCCTTTCTCCCATTTCTTTGTGCCCATTAAGTGAGCAGAATGGGAACAGCATTGCTGCCAAGGGCCTCGAGTGAAAGGCGGTGGGGGAAATTTTTCTGAAAGCGTGAAGCCCAGCTGAGGCCGAAATGGAAGTGAATTTGACAGCCTCAGGCCAGCGAAACACTGTGCCAGGGCTTCGGCGGTGTCAGGGCCTTCCTCCTCAGGGCCTCCTCGCTGAGCTGGGCTGTCCGCCGGAGCTGCTGGGAAGGGCCCAGCGAGGAGGTGGCCAAAGCTGAGCGCTCCTGGCTGCCGTATTCTGTCCCTGGTAGTATTCACTGTTTCCAGCCTGAGCCCAAGTGGATCTTTCTAACAAGCCCTCGTGGATTCGTCCCTAAAGGCTGGGCCCTGTGCTAGGGATACAGACCCTTGTCTGCAAAGTTCAGTTCTTTTTTTTTAAGGTTTATTTATTTATGCATACAAGAGCTGGAGTGCAGGCCAGAGGTGTGTGTGGGGGGGGGGGGTGAGAGGATTCACCAGAGACACAGTGGGGAGCAGAACAGGATGCTTGACTGAAATCCACTGCTGAGGGGAGCAGCGGGTGAGACAGGAGAGGTCTGCTGCGCCCTGTGAGTCACTCCCTGGCCAGGGATCGAACTTGTGCTACAGTGGCTGCTGATAGCGTCATAGTGCTGTGCTTCAACCCCTAGCGCCACCAGGGAGGG